CGTTGTTCCTAGAATTTATTTTTCTATTTTAGAGAACATGAACTCGGTGTTTCAGGTATCTAGCAGGTTGGGAGTTATAATATTTCTCTTACTGGATTACTTGGTCCCCTATATCACTAGCATTTAGGGAGCTGAGGCAGGAGGATCCCTTAGAGTTTCAGGCCAGCTTGGACTACATAGTGAGTTCAAGGCCAGCCTATACTACATAGTGAGACCCTGTCTCAAAAACAAACAAAAAAACTTAATTCACCAGAGCATATACAGAATAAGTGATTTTCTTTAGTGTGGAAGACTTTGACCAGGTACCCACTCAGCCTCTCTGGCCATGTAATTAGCAGCACCTAGTGGGACAGATAGATGAGTGGAGCCTGAGCCTGGGACAGGCACCAGAATGATGCCAACGCTTCCCAGGTGCTCACAAATCCCAGGCGCCTGTGCCCTTTGCCAGTCCTGAGCAGAGGCGGGCACAGTGCCTTGTGCAGGCCAGTAACTCAGTAAATATTTGTTGGTTTGCTTGCTCTGGTCGGTGCTTGTAGGAAGGTTAATAAACCTTTCAGAGACAAGTCCTGTACATCTGGAGCATTGTGAGCATTAAACAGCACTCACTGTATTTGATTCACAGTGAGTCCTGGAATAAATAACAAACGCATCCTTAGGTGGCTCTCCTTCCCAGCCCGCATACCTGTGGCTGCGGGGCTCTGGGCTCAGTGGTTTGTATCTTGGTCTCAGTGGTTCCAGGGAAGAAGTGGTGGGTGGAGGCTCTTTTAACATTCTTGCCCATCTCTTCAGTACTCTACAGAGTTCTGGTTTCCTGTTTGGCTTGCATTTTGTGCACTCCCAGGCTTCAGATTACGGATGGAGCTTCCCCAAGAGAGCCATTCCCAGAAGCCCTCATGCTGGATCCAGCCTCAGAGATATCTCAATAGCCACCACCTGACAGCCTCAGTTTCTCCAGTCAAAACTGTCTTGGTAGTAAGGTGACGAACCTGACTACCTAGGTCTGATTCTTGCTCACTGTGTGACCTTAGCAAGTTACTTAACCTCTGTGTGCCTGAGTGTCAGAAGTAAAGGAGTTGGAGCAGGTATGGTGTATGCCTGTAATCTCAGCACTCTGGGAGGCTGAGGTGGAAAGATCAAAAGTTTGAGCCTAAGCTGGGCAACTTAGTGACTTAGCAAGATGCTATCTCAAAGATAAATTTTTTAAAAAGCAAGAAAAAGAAAAGGCAAAATGGGCTGGGGGTATAACTCAGTGTGAAGGCCTGGGGTTTAAAAAAGAAGTCATTGTCCGGTGTGGTGATGCACGCCTGTAATCCCAGCACTTGGGAGGCTGAGGCAGGAGGATCTCTGTGAGTTCGAGACCAGCCTGGGCTACATAGTGAGTTCCAGGTCAGTCTCAACTACATAGTGAGACCCTGTCTCAAAAAACCA